GGTATTAAAGAAGAACCTAAAGGTTAATAAGGTGTTAGTATATAATATAAAGAATATTAAAGGGGTGCTATAGGGCTTACCTTAAGAGCTCTAGCTTAAGGCATAGCTAAAGACTAAGTATACTAGTTAAGGTTAGTTTATAATATAGATACTATTACTATATACTAGAGTATATAATTAAAGTTATTTTATCTTCTATTATTACTTATATAAAATCTGCTGCGGTGCACCACTGCCTCTTCTGTGGTCGTCTTGCCGTCTTGGGTGCGGGCCCTGCCCCATCGGGCAAACCGTGGAACCATGGACCCACTGCCTTTCCTGATGAGGAAACAAGATTGTCTTCTTGGGCTTAGCGCTATCTCCCGATCAGGCTCTTGCTGCTTTAATCCGCCGTGTCCCTGCCAAGCGTGCGAATAACGCCCTGGGCGGAGCGGGCGGACGGAAACACTGCCGCCGCTGACCACGTGGTCTCTGCCCCCGGCATGTGACGGTCTGGTGACGGGACCGGGCGGAATCCCGCCAAACGCCGATTGGCTCTCCTAACTCCGATTGCCATCATAGGAGAAGAAGAACGACTGAAAGAGCCAGTCAGCTCACTGTCCACTACACCTGTCGCTCCAGTTGGCTCGATACCACAGAATCTGCATCTGCGGGAATCGCGAGCCGTGTCGATTTTGAAACCCCGTGGAATGTGACGTCTCATGCTGCGCCCAATCCCTCTTCCACGGAGCGTTTCACCCCGACAGATAATTCGCACTTTCCACTTTCGCGCTGGAGCGGCCCCGGGACTAATGTGCGTTGAAGTAATCTCACGCCGGAGTCGCTGGATCTATACCGCAAGTCTCAGCCAGCGGGGATTTTTCCTGGCTCTACGAAAGAGTGGAATTCTCTGAGCCGTCGATGGCAGCCACAATGACCCGCGGGAAAAGCCTTGGAATGTGTTCCCTCATGCTTTCCTCAATCCATCGTTAGCTGGGCACTTCATTCTGGTAACACCTTGAAGTTTCGAAAGGGGAAAACTAGGCCAGGAGTGACGGGACGTCGGCTGGCAGATGCTCTAGGCACTGCAAGTCTTGCGGGCCAGCCTCGGTTTCGATGGTGAACAACAGTAGCTATGCTTAGAGTCTAAGAAGGCCCGGTCTCCCGGACGTACTGTATCAAGTCTTTGCGTCATGGGTCTCTCCCGCGGCAAGTGACTATCGCTCGCAACATATAAACTGGCCGCTTTCCCCCTTTCCACGCACTCAGTAGATAAATGTCGGTCACTTCATCTTTCGTCCCAGTCTGTTGCCTCTTGCATCATCCCACATCTGGCTAACCCCGATTTCGCTTGCCCTTTCCCCTTAGAATTTTCTAGCATCCCTCCTAGATACCCTGTCAATTTGTGCTCTGCAGTCAATCATTCTTACAATACCTTCCGCTTCCCCCTCCCGCCTTTTCCTTTCCTCTTTCCCTTTGTCCTTCGCTTCTGTGTTGTCCGTCTTGCTCTAATCGCTTATAACTTTCACTTTTTTTCCAAGGTTGAATTTGCCACGTTTGCCGTCTACAGCATCCCTGTTGTTGGTGACTGAGTACAGTACAGATGTCTTTCTCTAGGGCGGAGCCTTTTCGGTTCTATAATCCAACTTCCCAGCCACGAAAAAGCAAATCGGCAAAACCTGCTACACCTTCATCCGGGTCATTATTCAGCCAATTGCCAGCCACACATGCACTACCTAAGAAGCCACCGACTGTAATGTCATCTGAGGAGACATCAGCAATCTTACGTGCTCCACATAGAGAGACAACGATGACAACGATAGATCCTTTTACAACATTATCTACGCAAGGGACAGAATCTGACAATACCAGAGTTATGTCCAATGTTCCGTCCAGCGCGCAGTCGACCTCCGTGCAGAAGCCTCCTGAACCTCAACAGGAGCCGGATGCTCATATCGATGGTTCGTCCAGGGACCGCGGAACAACAAACAACAATTTTTCTAACGCAGAAACGTCCTTTGGGGGGGCAACACAGATAATTTCTCCTTGTGATAATGCAGCTTCTGATGAGCATTCGTCCGCTATTAGAAGTAAGCATGCAACAATGATGCCGGATCCTACACCGGAAGAATTGATGAGGCGTCCATCGAAGGAAATCATCCCTGGCCCCTCTGCCGCAGTTACACCGCAGTCAATTCGCGTTACAGAAGCAGTTGGGAGCCAGGGAGAAACACGTTCTCCTTTAACCACGGATCAACACATGGATTCATCCCATCAGGAGAACCCGAAGTTACCGATTATTGCTGTCGAGGTACCGCAAACAAAAACCACGCCAAATGAAAACAGTGGTGCCGAATTGACGACGTCCAGTGAAGATAACGACGATTCGGAAGACTCAAATTATGAAACCGAGTTTGAGGAAGCTGATGAGCCTCAACTGTCCAAATTTCCACGGTCGAGAAAGGGACTAAAGAGATCCTTGACGCCATCCCGTCCGCGGAATGTGAAGAAAACGCGGTTAGATCTTGGGCAAGTGCCTGCAACCTCGTCATCTCGTGGGGCGTTGTGGAATTTTCGATCGTCAGTATTAGAGCGATGCGGCCACTGTCGTTGTGACAGCCAATACACCCCTAACCCTGCACCTTCTTGTGCGATAGAACCAAGGCATATTCCTGTAAATGGCTACCTGGAATTATCACCTGGAGGCTTACGAACCTCCATCGTTCTCAACGCTGTCACACCCTATGATTTCACTGGATCATTATTCAACCAGCCCTCTACTAGTGCCACCATTCGGTATAATTCAACCAGTACTGACGGGGCAGATTCAGACAGCGGGCCCCATAATCAGTCACTACATAGAAGAAGAAAGAGAGCACGCTTCACGAAGGAGGAAGACGCCCTGCTAATTGAGCTCAAACAGGGTGGATTAAAGTGGAAAGACATGGAACAATATTTCAACGGGCGGGAATGGTCATCGCTACAAACTAGATGGTCAAGATACTTGCAGTCTGACACCCGGAGTCAGCATGTTTGTAATCACTAGAAAGTTGCTGGAAGCCTAGACTTCTAGCGTGTGTTGAGTTGGTCGTTACAACTGTGCCAAACCAAATAGCATTGAAAAGGTTTTAATGTTTGCAGAATAAATTGTGTCGTCGGAACAGCATCGGGGATTCCGGACTAGATATATTTGGAAACATCATGTAATGACCACAGATCAATTTCTTTCCTGAATCCGAAGGCCTGACACAGAAACTTTTATAGGGAAAGTAGTACACCAGAACTCATCAGAAATTTCTATCCTGTTTCCGGAGAATATAACTACCATTAGACTGTCAAACCCACCCATCGAACTCGCACATAGCCTATATAATAGCCGCAGGTCGAGGTAATTTGTTGAGTTTGCCTGTAGAGCTAATTGCCATTGTGACCTGGTAACCTACGTGTCGAAACTTTAAAAACTTCAAAATTTTTCCTTCTATCTTTCTGATTCAAACAGTGGCATGAAACAAACGGCAAGCACTACCTATCCCTTCTCTACAAGCCAATCAGGCTGTATTATACACGGTGGCATAATTCGATGAAATCTTCCAAAATATCATCCCTACAAAGCATAATAGGGAATGGTTATGGTACAGAATCTTTTTTCCCTTTCTTTTTTTTTGGGTTGGATTACACACATACACATTGATCCACCCTAGAATCCTGTCTCCCAGGCATTCGGTTGATAAATCATCCCGCATGACGACTTCCTACACTTGTATCTTATATGCCTCCCAATAACTCGCCTCGAGGATCTAGAGTTATCAGTTACAATAGGAATTACTCCACGTAGGTCATCTACGCACTTGGTTGCTGGCTATTTGAAGTATCATGCTCTCAGAAAATCAATAGGCGAATAAACTTTGTCAACGAAATGAAAGAGCTCAGAATACCAACGACTGCTAAATTAAGAAAGTATAGCAAACTTAGAATCGAATCTACAGAAATAATCGGAAATATTACATCTTATGTTTGGAGAATACAACAAAATTGACCCAAAAATACCATCCAGGAACTTGTAAGAATAGACAGGCGAGTATAATTGAGGCGTTTGATATTTTAAATATCGCACAAATAGATGGATGTCTCTCGACTTCACCAAGTCAAGTATTTGGTAAAATGCTGACCTCTGGTGGTTGTCTGGGACAATACCAGAATTCAGATTTTGAAAGGAGATTTTGCCTGATCTAGATTGGGAAGAGGGGCTGGTGAGTCTCTGGCGAGGCATTATGGCGACATGGCTTGTTGCGGTACCGCAGCTTGGATTGTTGTTTGTTTTGTAGCATGCCTTGAGACACGGCGCCTTTATAAATTTTTTTTTTTTTTTAAAAAAAATCTTTTGAATTTGAACTTGAAAAACGTTCGAATAGTATAACTCAGAACTAAATCAGGAGTACACAGTAGAAGAAAACAGCTGTTACTCTTGCTTATTCCGTTTTCGAACCATTGTAAACATTCAAAAACCACGAGAGATGGGAGAAGGCAGGGTAAAGGCAGGGTGACATTAAGCCGATGCGGAGGTACAACAAGCCTTACAGGTCCAAAACGCCGAAGGCCCTGGAGGTTCTCGCAATCCGGCTTCTGGCCCCTGGTTACTATAGCATCCTCGGCACAGAAGGTGGAAGCATAAAGAAAGCCGTACGTCCGCAACATGAACATGGCATCCTTGGCAAATGGTGTTTGTCCGATCGCGGGCAGCATTGTGGTATCTTAAAGACCACTCGGCCGTTGCGTGGTCTAGTCGATTTTGGAGGAGAGTCACCCGGAACTGTAATTCCTGACAACGGTTGTGGAGGTGTATGTTATTCTGCCAAAGGGTTGCCAATTCTCTTTCGAGCAACTCATATATTTGGTAGAATCTGGGTCTCCTGCGGTTTTCTGGGATAGTATTAGAACCTAGTTATCGAATGGAGGTATGCTCTGACCTTGGCTGCACAAAGAGGGGCCTGAGCCTCTTTGATAAGGCATGGCGACTGGTCTTATCCTGGGATAGCTCTTAGCCTTTCCAGGTTGATGGAAACGTTGTGTAGTAGTATACGGTGAATGGAAACACAGCAGCCTTTAAATAATCTCTTCTCGACTTAGCTAATATAGTATTTTCTTCCGCAACATTCTTTACGTGACGGTGAAACGCCGGCAAATGCCATCAAAGTCATGGCATAAATAGATAGTAGCGCTTCTCCGAGAAATATGCTCTTAGTTCTATCTATATGACTTTGTGTCGACATTTTCTTAGAACCCAACCTTAGGGAACATATACGAAAATGGCTAGTATCGTCTGCCGTACACCAGCAAAGGCGAGGGTCAGGGTAAGTGAATCACACGCACATCCAGGCCACAAGCACACGACTTATGCTAGAAGACCAACGGGGCTAGCCCATAAAAGGACATACAGGGCCAAGTGAAAAAGAAAATAATTGCGTAGGCAGTACTTGGTAGCATCCAAGGCTATTTCCTGGCTAATTATACAGCCTATCATTTCATTCGTTTGAAACAACTACATGTCTACAGCTATTCCCAACCATATATATACCGCAGTTTATTATACTGTATACAGGCAAATTTAGAGTCTTCTCAAAGCTAATGATGGCCGTAGCTGACTTATTACTCTGTTTTATGGCGTTCAAAATTTGCGTACACAAGCAAGGATGCATTCAATAGACAGTTGCATAATGTGTCGTAGATCCTACCCTACGAAGGTTTAAGCATACGTAATCTCGCTCTTGCACTTTTGTTATAGGACATCACCATCTCATTCGTCTTCGTCTTGGGAACGTCACCAGACAAGCCAAGCACGCTGGATTATGTCCGTTCTGGGTCCAGTCCAAATTAGAACGTCACTAACACTGCAGTTATCCGTATGTCTATGGTTTCGAAGTCTTCCTCCTGTCCCTTCAAGATCCCCTTGATGCTTTCCTTCTCACCTTTCTCGCTCTTATCCACTAGGGCGTCTCCAACCTTTTGTGACTGCTTTGGATTGAAGGTAGCTATTTCTTACGTCTTGTACAACTTCAGCACTGGGACGAAGTCCTCCTCGTAAAAGGCCTTCGGAAACTGTCATGACTGCAAAGCAGTATCTAACAGGTCCCTTCTTGGCTTCTATGGCTTGATAACCACAAATTTCACCATCATCTCGAGTTGTCTTTCCAGGAATGTATTTGGCCGTGTCAGTGAATTTTGGTGCTTTATGAATGGTATTAGGATATTCCGATATCGGTTTTGGTGCTCCTCTTCCCTCATCGACCGGATGTGCTGCTCGTTTGCTCGATTGTGCGTTGGTGGTGGACGATTCTTCAACGCTAACTTTGGGGGGAGCAGGTCGTGGATCGAGATCCATCTTGTCATTAACTTGTATTTTTTTGTTAGCTGCTGGTCCATCGTCATTTTTCAAATTTACCGGAGATTCATTGCTGATAGAGCATTGATTCTCGGTCTGGTTGGACACTTCACCATCTTGTGAAAACTCAGTTTGTGCACGGGTGACGGAACCCAAAGCCGGGATGGACGATCTAGCCAAAGATTCTGCAGCCATTTCTAATGTGGGTCGAGAGTGTTTCTCATGCAATTCTGTGTGGCTGCCTTTTCCTGGTATTCCACCATCAACTTGTTGTTTCTTATTTGGTCCATCTCCACGTGCCGAGTTCGGTGCAAGTCTATTACCGGTAACTTTGAGGCTGAGTTTCTTTGGCCATCTCAACAGTTGACACAGACTCAGACTGTGCATGGGCAAGAGAATCCGAAGCTGGTTTGGATGATACAAGCAAGGATCTCGCTTTGATTTCGCATGAGGTTTGGGGACACTCTCCATGTGAATCGTCATGGCTTCCTTCTGCTCCCATAGGTTGTGTATATATAGCTTGTTGCCTGGAGTCAAGTACCTCGCCAGTCTATGCAGAGATTGACTGTATGCTGGGAGTGGCGGATGACTCTATTGAAACACCGTCATGTTGGGGGCCAAGTTGTGGATATAAAGCCGTAGTGTTATCAACCCATTGCGTCTTGTTAATCCCCGATTCATCATCACTTTTTGGCTTTGGCACAGGTGTGCTGCTCGTAGAGCTTTTGTTCCTGTATTGATTAATTAGTTCGACAGCTGACGCGGACCCAGCCTGTGCATGGACGACGAATTCTGAAGCTGGGGTGGACAATCTAGGAGAAGATCCCACTTTAGTTACGGACCTGGTCTGTGGACGTCTAGATGTTTCTTTGGATCTACTAGATGTTGAGTCAATAGCTTGTTGGCGAGCATTCTGCGCAAGCCCAGGCTGTTCTTGGGTGATAGAGGTGACAGACTCCAAAACGGGAGTAGATTATTCACGCAGTGCCTCTGCTTTTGTCGCTGATACAGTCTGTGGGCGTCTTCTGGAGGGTTGTCGAGGCCCAGTAGCTTATGGATTGTTGGCTTGTTGGTCAGTGTCGAGTTCCTCGACTGTCCCTGCAGAACCAGGCTGTGCTTAGGCTTGGGTATGGGATGAGACCCCGGGTTTGATGACCCACGCGCGGAATATCAAAGGAGCTTCAGCCCTTTTCGCATGGCATATCTGTGAAGGCGAAGAAGTAACCGTGTTAACGCCTCCACCCCCATGTAGGTTCCATCCATCAGGGTTCACAAGTTACCAGGTTATTGAAGAACCCATACTCAAGGGTGGTATGGAAGGCAAACATGTCTCTAATATCATGTTAGCCCATCCAGACGTGAAAGGGGCGGAGGACTTCAGATACCAGATTTGGCCCGTTGACAAGACTTCTTCCTGGACTGCTAAATTCAAATCCACTCATTCCGGTACTCGATGCTGGAGAGAAGTAAAAGCGATGCCATTCGCTCATGGAGCTAATGGTCAGAATCTTCTGTGCGTATTTGAGAGCAAGTTAATTGGAACGATGCTGAATAGTCTGTGCTTCAGTCTGCCGTCCGCTGCCTAGGATACGCGACCAATTGTACGCATATCTGACTCACTGAACTGCACCATGAAGACAGAAGATAGATACAATGCGAGGGTAGGATCTATTTGTGGCCCGGAATGGCGATCATTACGAGGTTGATTCATAAAGCCCGTTCGATTAACATCAGACTATCTGTCGGTCGAGTTCATTTTCAACCTGGAAATTTTTCTTTCGATACTTTGAGGACTTCAGATGCTTGCGAAGCCGCAACTCTTTTGAGTGTATGAGCCACGCTATGATGGTCCTATTCCACAAACGCGTCCGAGTTTAGAAATCCAAGACCGGGACGACGGGTGGCAGGAGTGAATCTCTGTCAAGGGAGATGATGGCTACAGTAAGCGAGATTCCGCAGCCAAACCTTCCACATTTCAACATCCCTGGGAATTCGATGTTAGCAATCCAAAAACATAGAAGAGACATGCATGGAAGCCCAACAAGTTTGCATGCCATCAACAGTATTAAATAATATGCTCGTAGAACGCCTGAACCTTCTAGATCCCAATCCCTTTTCAACGCCTCGTAACGATGCATCCCTTAAAATTTCAATAACTTCATGGTGTTACAGAGTCTAACGCAGGCTTGGGTTTAAGCCTGGATCCCAAGACTGCCGATTTTTTGGCGCCCCATCTTGCGCGTCAACTTCGCATAGTGTAGACCGCAAGCATTACATAGTGTCCGGGCACCGTCTGGGCCACGACGCCATTCGGGCGTTTCCGCACGGTTACAACTATGGCATCGACCAGGAGGAGCGGCTTTCTGTAGCAGATTGTTAGAACTAGACAAAAGGGAGTAAAAGCAAAGAACGTACGCTGCACCGTTTCTCCGAGTCTCGTCCGTCAAAGTCACTACCGCTTGTACGGTCTTTCTGGTGCGTCGCCATGCAGTCATTACCACGAATTCTACAAGGCTTGTCAGCTTTTCTCTGCGCCATCTGCTCGGCCATGGCATACTCCTTATTGAGAAGCGCCGTTCTTATACACATCAAAGCATCGTGATTTCGACGTTGAATGTTGAGCATGTCTTTGATTTCCTGGAGTGAAAGCAAAAGACTCATTACAGGCCCAGAACGAGACTGATATGCTTCGTTCGCATAATGTCGTGTGAAGTCCACAATTCGGGAGGTCAAACCAACCATCTACCAAGATCAGCAGCCAAATTCTAGCGACGGATTAATTAGAATACCTCATTAAGCGAAGCCTCGATATCATAAACGTCGAGATGATGTGTCGCGGAATCGCCCAAAGAAGGCCCAGGGAACGCCTGCCCGGAAAAACCGCCCCTCACATTATATACGCGTGGTCCCGCATGGGGCCGCGAGTCGTATGATGTTGCTATATACACCGGCGTTCCCGGTGGAGGCTGTGACTGAAATGAGTAAGGTTGGGAATCACCGGGGTATCCAGTTGGCGAGGCAACGCTACCCGCAAGACCTTTATACTTATGTCCTCCTGTCTGCGAGCCGGAGATGGAAGTAATGTCAGTGCTTGCACTTTGCGTAGGCGGCTTGCCTGAGCTGAGCGATCGGACGGAAGCATTCCTTGAATCCTGTGTATTTAGTGACTCTAGACTCGATCGGGTTTCTGTCTGTAATTGCGACTGCTGAGACAGTGTTGGTTCGCGAAGGAAAGACCCTCCATTTGAGAACAGATTAGAAGAACCTGATGGCCCTTCCCCGCTAGAACGAGCGCCATGGTTCGACGAGAGGTGGTGCGGAGGTGGTGCGCTATGGGTTTGTTGAGGGGCAGCTGTTGTGGGAGGGGGCCGGTATGGGAGAAAGTCATTATTTCCTAGCGCTTCATGGATAGATGGGAGTGACTGTCGTGTTGCTTGTTTCTCTTTCTCATCTTCGGCGCGTCGCGATTCCGGCGACGAAATATAGCCCAAGCCTGCGTCTGTTGAATAGGGATAAGGGGGAGGTTGATTCGGGTACATAGCTGTTGGGCTAAGTAGAGGAGCGGGAGATGTGGTAGGCCCTCTGTAGCCTAGAAAGCCGATAGCTGGTAGATGATCCCTGGGCAATGGTAAAACAGTTAGCGCATTATGCAGTAGCAGTATCTCTCAGCGATGAGAAGTTTCATAATCAGGTGCATGTTTCGACATACCTATGCTTATGCGAAGCTTTTAGTGACCCCATGACGAAATGCTGTAGCCCGCTTCGTGAATGATAAAAGGTGTTGTAACCTTGTTAACAAGAGCTCCCCTAGTACCCGAAACTTGATCAAGCCCTTCGATACACGCAAAGACCAGAAGTTCAGAATGACGGAGTGATCGCTCCAAACGTGTATCCAAAACGAATTCAAAGCGATAATTCGGTCTAGCATTTCCGATAAGCAAGAATATGAGTAACGACAGCACCCGCATTTGGGCCACCTTTTCCTAGCGGGGATCAAAGGTATGTGACCATTCTCAAACAAAAAAATTGGCAGTCTGTCCATTCCTCAACGTGAGAAAAGAATACCCTCCGCATCGGGGACCGAGCGGTGAAGGATTGTGCCGGTATTTCATGGCGGTGAGGCCAGCCAAGCCAGCCAAGCCAGCCAAAGGGAAAGTGCGAGTTCATCTCGCTAGTTACGTCTTGGTTGGTGTGTGTCTAAAAGAAGTTCTATGGAGCAAAGTGCTAAAGGCTGTTCGTCCTGGAAGCTCTGTGCAGAATAAACTTTATAAATAGAACTCGGAAGAACATCACAGGGGAAAGATATCACTACGGAACACCCACCTGGAGGAGTGCTGGGGAAGCACGGAGGCCTCCTGCCGTTAACAACGACGCTTGCTCTTCGTTGGAGGGGAAGAAGCACAACAAGTGCAAAGCCGTTTCGTGGATCAGGCCGCTGAGTTACTCAGTTGTGGTGTCTTGCTTTCCTTGGCCCGCGGCTTCATTGGTCGGGGTGGTTAACAGCTGTTGAGGCGGGGTCAGGCAACAATGTGTCCAGCTCGCATCCTAGCAAAAGCGACTGGAGATAAATTTTGAAAAGTGCATTTCAAACCCTCAGAGATTGCACTCCGGCTCACAATATATTGTCTAGTTAGTTTTTACTCTAGCTTGCATTCTGCGCAGCCATGGTGAAGAAAAATCGCAAAGCTGTTCGGTCATTCGTGGCGGATGATCAAGAACCTGAACCTCCCTCGCCTGAACAGGATATGGATAGCCGGAGACCTATTCTGGATCTCGTTTCTAGGTGAGAAGCGTACAATTCGGTCCGGGTAATGGTCTTAGTAGGCCTTGTCACTAATATCAAATTAGCCTACATCTCAACTCCGACTACAGCGATTTGGTGATTATTTATGGGGGTAAAACCTTCCCAGCTCATAAGCTTGTAGTTTGCCCCAGATCAGAGTATTTTAAACAGGCTTGTTTTGGAGGATTTAAGGTACAAACTTTAGACCTCGGAATAATGACTGGGGATCGAGACTGACAGCCACTGTGGTGATTAGGAGACCAAAGAACCTATTAAACTAGGGGATAAAAACCCGGTTCTGATCGAGAAGGTGCTATAATTTCTATACACGGGAGATTACACTATTGGATCCCATGCACCTGAAGTGGGAGATTCACGGCTCCATGGCGATGGAGCATAACAAATGACTACAGGGCGTAAGGAAGAGACTGTAGTTAATAATATATCAGAACCTGCTCTAAACGAGCTTGAATCAGAGGTAGCCACCAACGAAAACGTTATTCCTAGCCTAGAGTGTACCGAGCCAGGTATTATGGGTGACTTCGCTACATGATTGACCAGGCCTAGTTGGAGGGCCTCTTGAAAAGGTCCCAAGTGACTTAATGGAGTCTATCGTCAATCCTTTGGGTGGATGTCATCCATGCTACATCCACATGTGTATTTTCGGCGAAGCGGATTACCTTATGATCATTGATCTGAAAGACAGAGCAAAGGAACAATTTTGTGAGTCTCTTAGTGGTTGCTATGGTAGGAAATTCTTCGCGGAGATAATCAAGGAGCTTTATTCAGATAGAGCAAACTATCAAATCTTGAGGAAACTGGCAATTAATGTGGTGATCGATCACTTGCCAAATCTTTGGAAAAGATTCGCCCCAGCGATCGATATCGAGCTCATGAAAGCAGTTCCTGATTTTTCTATTGATCTATGCCTTGCGACCCTGGATAACTATATGGTCGAACCGTCCAATATGAAGCTATATCCATTCCCTACTGACTTTGAATATAGAGGAGTTGACTACGAGTGTAAAGCCTGGGATACTACGAACTGGTCGTACCAGAACTAGCGAGGGTAAGGAGTTAGGACAGTAAGGGCTATCATATCCACCTGTATCTAAAAGTTTTACTTTACTGAGCTATTTCACTGCTTGCTGGGTCCCATGCGAAGATAAAATGTCGGGACCCGACCAATTTTGATCGGATGATGAAGGATTGCCAATGGCTGTTTGGATATTTAACGAGAGTACAATATATATGCGATAACTCAGAGCTCTCCCTCCCTAGCATGGCTTGCGAGGTGCTGATCGCGATTATCCTTCCTGGGGAACCCGCGGCCAAGCTCAAAGCTATATTTGCAACCCTTAATGTGACAGAAGTATGTTGTATGCTCAACCATATCAGGGTTTTTTGTGTCGGAGTGCCACTTGAGGTCCTCGCGGTACTGGAATGCTGATGTACAGCTATTGACTGTGCACTTGAAGTGTTTATCGTGGCGTGTCTTGTGACGGCTTTAAAAGGATTAGCCCTAGAGTGAGAGTATTTGGGTAGGGTCAAGCTAGAAAGACATAACTTACTTGAGTTTATATAGCTTCTGGAAAGTGAGGCTACAGCTGCCACACTTGAAAGGATAGGAAGTTGAGGTATGCTCAGAACAGGTCGGCTGTGGGTTTGTTGGAGCTGATGATAGGAGATCCTTATCCTCTCTAAGGCTAGCGTGTGGAGTCGGATCTGGTGGAAACGGGAGTGGGGGTGGGGAATAGCTCAGAAAATCATTAAGTGAAGGGGTCTCGAGGAATTGAGAAGATGAAAGTCCAAGGTCAGGGCCAGGATGCCCAATATCTAACCACGCAGGGTCAACGCAGTCAAAGACCTGATAGTGATGATGTTCATTTAGACGAGTGTTAACAAAGCTGTGATTCAAACTAGTTATCCTGGGAGGAAAGGTAGATAGGAAGGCTTCTGAGGCCCGGGTTTCTCAACCGGACGGGGCCGGCCTTCCATCTGGAGGAATGAAGAGTCGGAAAAGAGAATCAAAATATAATCTGGATATAAAGAATGAAGAGAAGACGTAAAGGGTGAGCAGCAGTCGGTTTATAGTAAAGAGTGACTAGGCAACCTCTTACAAGAGGCGCCGCTGTTAAGAGAAGAAGAATACCTCCAGTCGAGAAATCCTCTTCTTTATATGCTTGACGCAAAGAAAGTCCAGCACGCAAGGCGATCTCTTGGCAAAATGGCAGGCCTCGAATTTCCCGTTGGAGTTAGCTTGTTATTCACTTAGCTGCATCATGCATATGCAGCTTGAGATGCCGGTGCTATTGGCTCGTTAATACGCCACCGCAGTGGTAGGCCTCAAAAATGGGTCTTGCAAATAATTGATTATTGGGTGGAATTGGATATTGATATTTGCTCTCCACAGGTCTCTATGCTTATGTAGGTTCAATTCGCTGGACTGTAGGCACTCTAGAGTTGGCTTTCCGTGAAAGAGATTACGGCGAAAAACAATATCCTCAAGAGCGGCATGCTCATGCAGTGACACTGTGCGATTCCAAGGTTCCCGCGTTTGCAACACCCAGCATCTTCAAATATTCTAATGTCTTATTATCGCCATCACCAAACTTTTTGGTGCCATCCTTCTGCTCCAAGCTACCCCAAGTCAATCGAAGCCGAACTTTGTAGTAGTCACTATACGTAAGCTCTTGGTCATCAGCTTCACCTGAACGTGCATTGAGCCGAAGATTGGTATCTATAAAGATTAGTTAAAGTCATCGAAGTTGCAGAAAAAACGTACCGAAGTTTGGGTGCACGAAGTAAGGCATGCTGTAGCGATCCTGAGATCTCGGAACTTTGTCCCAGGAAATACGATGCATTGTTGATTTGAGCATCTTTCCAGTCCACAGTGAAAGAGCATCACCTATGTTAATCGTAATTGCCCCGGGAATGACGGGCACTTCATGCCATTGATTATTGGGATCGCGAATTTCCAAACCAGGCGACTCTGTGAACAACAGGGTCACGCTTCCCCAGTCGGTGTGCTCGGATAGCCGAGGAATAAAACCCTCTGGCTGTTTGTCCATTTTTGGGTATTTAATGATTTTGAACGTGTTACCTGGTAGCTCTTGTTTATGCGAAGCCGAGAAAAAGTCTCCCGGAAGACCCATGTTGACGGCGAAGCAAGACATTATCTTCAAGTTCAAGTCGTTGCACTGATGTTTGAAAGATTCAATCTCGGCAAGCTTATCTGCATCCCACCAAGAATGAATGTTATCACTTTTGGATAGCTCCCCCGCGGGCAGTCCAAAAGACATGCCCTCTGAAGCAGCGAATCTTTTGATATATTTCTGTCAGTAAATTTTCTTCTCTCCCTGTCTCCCTTGGAAACTGCGTCAGGGATCCTTACGTAGTAGCGGTATGTCCGTCATATCCAACTGGGTCTTCATTCAGTACCTTCTCGGACTTTATGTGCATTGGCAGGTCAAAAAATTCACGCGCCTGTTATATTTGCTATGAGTTTCTACCTTCAATGAATCTTTTGGTGGAAGTTTACCCGATCGAACATGAGGCTGATCCCCTTCACTCCATGGTCTTTCACAATGAAAAATCCCCATTCCTGGCTGGCCTTGAATATTTCTTTGGAAATATTGTCGAAGTCGGACGAGAAATCTTTCAAAGAGATGATAGGAAACTCCATCCTGTAAGAAAAGAGAAGAATGTTTGTTGCGTGAAAATGAGAATTGCTAATGTAAATAACGAGAAAGTATCCAAGCAGACAACCTTGGAAGTACAATGTTCTTTCTGGGTTTGACTGAGCTTTTATTTTATCTGACCCTGGAATAACACACCTTTAAATAATTCAAATTAGTGCCAAGAAGCTCCCTTTACTCCGCATGCATGTCTCACTCTCCCCCGGGGCCGAGATCTTAGAGACAGGTGTGATAGGGCCGCTCGGGCTTACTCCCCTAATCTTCAAATCCGAGAATAGAGTCCGAAAGGCCGTTTGAAGAATGACGTCGCCATTTATCATTAGCGAAGTTATTACATTACATATTGCAGTGGCAACTCGATTTCTTCTCGGTTCATTTACGGAAATATCCGAAGGACATTAGCACCGAGTCCCCGTAATCTTGGGCTGCAGAGCAAGAGAAGCCTTGAATTCGGGACATAATGATTTTCTGACATCATAAACATGCCAGCTTGAGTATAGGGCTATCCCACCTCTCCAAGGATCGAATACTAGAGTGCCCAGTTCTTATTGCCTGCTGGAGCGATCTGGCCACGGGTTTCAACGGATATACCGGAAAATATCGCACTCATATTGCTCAAGGCTCGAGTACAACCTTTCAAACTTAACGATTCTCTCCACGACTCTTCTCCCAGTCGCCGCGTGCCAACTATTGTTGTAGCTTCTTTAGGACAACATGAATAGTTGATATACTTCCTATGTGCTCTTTAAAATTGATATTCTAGTCTAGGTGAATTCTACCAAGGAACATTCTTGGAGCTTTGCTGCTTGGACATCCATGGAAAACCTCTATTCGGTTACCAATAAGACAAGCAGTATAAATACGCAGGGCAGTATTCAAACTGGAAAGGAAATCATTTCCTCACAAACTTTACGACCGTATCAAAGAATCGACAATTGAAAATAACCCCGAGGACAGTCGCCAATTAAGGAGTCACGCTGGCTGTATAATAGCCAGAAGGCCCTAAGACTCGATTGAAAGATGGCCTCGGTTGCTGAACACGATTTATAATTCAAGAATTGATCCGATCCACTACAAAGCTGAATTGCACTAATACCATGGGAGAAATCTACGGCGAATTGTGCGGCGAAATGTGTAATGTGTATTAAATAAGAACAAATTGCTTCATAAACCACCAGGCAGATAAAATGTTTTTGGGCGGCCCGCGCTCAAATTATAGCCCGATATATGCATTGTGCTCTACAAATATCACAATATTGAGTTGAGCCATTCGACGGATGGCTGAGTGTTGTAAAGTTCCCACATGAGACCCTCGTTCCAAATAGTGGTATTCCCTCGTTGCTCGTAGTAATTATCGTAATTCGCAGCTTGCTGATCGGGTGAAGATAGAGTCGGGGCCGAGCTGCCTTCCTCTACTGGCACCGTCAAGAAGGAGGCCTGTGTCTCGAAATCTTTGCTGATGTTACCGTAACGTGACGAATGTACATGAAATTTGTTATTGTCAGATCCGTCGCTGAGATGGCGATCGTGCAAATTAGAGCAGAGGTTGATCAACTCAGATAATAGCCTGTGAAGATTTAAGCCAAAAGTACATTGATCTTTGATCCTCGAGATCATCGAAGTGACTTCTTTCAATAGCTCAAAATCTTCCTGGTTCGAAGTGGCGACGACGTTACAAAATATTACAAAGAATGGGGTCATGGGATATAACAACACAGTCCTGACAAGGTGTTAGAACAGTTCTTCAAGTTTAAAAAGTGACATGTTAATACCAGAAAAGAAAGTCTGTTGTGATGGTCGACGGAGTAGAGATATGCCTTTGGCATGCTTGCATAGCGAATAGAGCCTTTCGAGCGTATCGTAAACATTCTTCACGCCTCTTGTGATTGTGTGAGGGTAATGAATCGAAGCGAAGGATCCCCGTCGCGATGGAGAAAAAAGTGAAGTCAACCGCATCCCATTCAATCTTCAAGGTGGGATGATCAGCATATTCCGTACGATACTGGAGGAGATGTCAGATTTCGAGATGCGAGGCATGCAACGAACAAAAACAAAAATACCTGTCGAATTTCTTCACTGATGAATCTCAACTCGACATGAAGATTTTCGACCAAAGCAGATTCATGAGCCTCTGTCAAATTCTGTTTACGATCCCTCATCATGAGAAATAGTGAGTTATCTTGAACTTGAGCGAGTTTCACCAGGATTCTAACTTTATAGGACAGTGGGTACTCTGGATCAGTGTCGACTAAGTCGATGGGATGAAATGGAAGTACAGGCAAAGATGAAGGGCGAGCGAGGAGCATGCTCAGGGTTTTGTCCATATAATAGCACCAATAGATGCATCGACGGACTTCCGATTCATCGTGATCATCAGACTGAGTAACTGCGGTCGAGCTGTGATACCCCAGAGCTACCAGAGCCCGGGAAGCAAGAGAGGTCATATGCCACGATCTAGTCGTATCGCCAAGAAGCTGCACCAAGGATGCCTATTTGAAGTCAACAAAAAGGAATCTTCAAAAAGGAGATGGGAGGACATACTCCACATAGAAGCGCTTGTAGCATTGAAAGGCTCGGAGACCTGGAGAAGTCAATTAGGGTAAGGCATTCCAGACAAGCCGCGATATATTTTTCTCTGGACTTCTCCAAGTTGTCTGCCAAGATCCCCGGCGAGCACAACCGCAGCCATCGACTGACAAATATTATAGCTTTCGAAAAAATGCAGACTTTGTAATGAAGAGCTGTTTGTCCACTGACGGTGTCATTCATTGTTGCTAAAGACATGCGCTCGAGTGTTTGGAGAGAGATATGATCTGGCCAATGAAGAGCTAGAGTGTCACACTTGTTCTGACCTGTGAGTGTTAGATATAACAGTGAAAGGCAGTGAATTCAGATAGCTTACCAACCAGCATGAAATAAAACAGCTCCGATGGAATATTTGCAACCAATGATGAGGCATCCGATGAACTGTTGCAATCTGGCGAATCTTGCACTTGACGCGAGGCTATCATGAATTTTTTTATGACATCAATTGCGGACTGCAATGCGCTCATTCGGGCCACAGGTAGGTGTATATTGGATTCCATTTCCTCTCTGATTAAGCTGCTCACATTGTTTGTCTGCTCATGGTGATTGGCCACTATACCAGAACGCCTAAATGACTGGGCAACTTCCGCAGGTGTAGAAATACTTGTCAGAGGCAATGTATCCGGGTATTCCCTCTCCTGAGATTCCCTGATAAGGATATAAAAGTAAGATCTTAGAATAATCGCTAAATGAAAATCACCAATACGAGACTGACTTACGTGGAAGTCTCGGGGCGGCGCGTCCGCTTCCGTCGTTGTCGTTGTCGCGTACATGTCGCTTGAACTGCGCTGCAATTGCGGCATTGAGTCTTTCTATCACATTTGATCTGAATGGGTGACGAGCAAAGAAAAAAATAGTAATCAGCATGTATATCAGAATTAGAGGAATGGTGGCTTCTATCAGCAAGGAGGTCGTTTAATCCTATACCTTTCTTACATAGCAAAGATCGCACTTATTTCGCGTCAGATCAGGATTGTCGAGTGCGGCATATGATAAGAGACTCACAGCTTGGACTTTAGCTTCACCCCTTGGAACACCATCTTTGAACAGGATAGTGTGAGGCATATTCGGAGTCTGGTTAACAGAGATAAGGGGGAAGACTCCTTCGCGGACGCCCGGATTTGTGGAATGGCGGCTAAGAGTAGTCTGGCCAACTTTCACATTTGAAGGAGCTTTGCTATCCAAGAAAGCATCCACCCGCTGCTCCGAGCTTCGGGATTTCGGGCCATCGGCCTTTACCATAAATGGTAGATCCGGCTTGGCAGATTACTCCAGGTCAAACCTTCGGGTGGTTTGCCACGGCGAGAGCTCTGATCGCCGAGAAAGAACTGCAGAATCCCGAGTCCTGGCCACCTACCGATGAAACAATATGCAAGCCCCATTTTTATTTTTATTTGTATTTTTATTTGTTTGGTCGTCGATTTTCGTCAGATGTTTCTGGAGGTCAATCAGTTGCGAATATCCCTTCACCAGAGCAGGTGAAAGTTCACTTTGTTCTATCCCCGGGTTTGTCATGTAGATCAGTAAATGCTCACCGAGATCTATCATTGCCTATCAACGAGTAAAGACGGTTTGTTCGGCGCAATTGAGGGGTCTACCATAAACGAAAAGTGACCGAAAATCCGAGGCCGATGGTACCAATAAGGCGGTGGATAGCAGCCAGCTTAACCAATCATCCCAAATCCGCTGTATAGTACCTGTCCACTGTGTCTTGATTTTAATGTCCGAAATCCGTGAGGCGCCTCTTTAATAGCTTTCTTCCCACTCAAACTCCTTTTTCAATATGAACAACAAATTACTTTCGTTTTCTCTCCCATTTCCATTTTTTCTTTTCCTAATTAGAGCTGAATCATTCGTATTCTTCTTCTCTATCAACATCCTCCTGTCGTCGAACTATAGATCATGGATAATCGAAAACCCTCACCCTCGTCCTCCCCTCCATCGACTCTGAACAGTGCATCAGATGATCCTCTATCGAAATGGCATCTTACTCCGAAGATCCAAGAATCATACCAAAGAGACCTTGACTCAGGACTCAAACCACGCAAGCTTGGTGTCACCTGGAGCAACCTAACTGTGAACGCAATCAGTGCGGAAGCGGCTGTCAAAGAGAACTTCATCTCTCAATTCAATGCCAGCACACGCCTGGGATACTATCGGCACAAACCTCCCTTATCAACCATACTTGACCAATCCCACGGCTGTGTGAAGCCCGGTGAAATGTTGCTTGTCCTCGGTCGACCAGGCTCCGGATGTACAACCCTCCTCAAGATGCTTGCCAATAGACGAGCGGGGTATCACCAGATTGATGGTGATGTGACTTTCGGAAGTATGGGCCACGATGAAGCAAAGAAGTATCGAGGTCAAATTGTTATGAATACCGAAGAAGAGATCTTTTTCCCAACCCTGAGTGTTGGGGAGACTCTTTCATTTGCCACGAGATCAAAAGTTTCCAATAATTCATTCGACTCCTCCAAGAAAGACCAATATACCGAAGAGACGGACTTTCTGATGGAGTCCCTCGCAATTCCTCATACCAAAGACACGAAAGTTGGTAACGAATATATCCGAGGTGTCTCAGGCGGCGAGAGAAAACGTGTTTCGATCCTGGAATGCCTTGCCTCCCGGGCTTCTGTTTATTGCTGGGACAACAGTACTCGAGGACTCGATGCTAGCAACGCACTAGAATGGGCTAAAGCGGTTCGTGCAATGACTGATGTCTATGGGTTGTCTACTATCGTTACCCTTTATCAAGCAGGCAATGGCATCTTTGATCTGTTTGACAAAGTTCTCGTACTTGACGAAGGAAAAGAAATTTACTACGGACCGAAGAAGAACGCAAAACCGTTCATGGAAAGTCTCGGCTTTCTCTGCGATGATGGTGCAAATATTGCCGACTTCTTGACTGGAGTTACTGTTTCTACCGAGCGCCAAATTCGGCCTGGCTACGAAAACTCGTTTCCTCGAGACGCTGCCTCAATTTTGTCACATTATCGCAGATCTACCTTATACAGGGATATGATTACGGAGTACGACTATCCAATGACAGAATTAGCTCGAAATAACACGAGAGACTTCCTGGAGACAGTCTCTTTGGAAAGATACTCTGGCAAGAGCGAGTATACAGTCAGCTTCTTTACACAAGTCTGGGTGTGTGTGATCCGCCAGTACCAAATTATTAATGGCGATATGGTCACCTTTATAATGAAGCAAAGCTCAAATGTTGCTCAGGCACTCATCGCCGGCTCTCTTTACTATATGGCTCCGAATGACTCCTCCGGTATCTTCCTCAAAGGAGGAGCACTTTTTTGGTCTGTTCTATACAATAGCATGACCATGATGTCCGAAGTAGTCGATTCTTTTACAGGGCGGCCGATCATTCTTAAACACAAATCCTTCGCTTACATTAAGCCAGCCGCTATTTGTCTCGCTCAGATAACATCAGATATTCCTACTTCCCTTCTCCAGGTCACTGTTTGGTCATTGGTTGTATATTTTATGACCGGTCTAACGTCTTCTGCGTCTTCCTTCTTCACCTTTTGGATCGTGCTTTTTGTCACGAACATGTGCTCCTGTTCCCTATTTCGAGCAGTTGGTGCTGTCTTTGGATCTTTCGATGTTGCTTCTCAGGTCTCTGGCTATGTGATTGGTATCATGGCGATGTATTCAGGATATCAGATCCATACCACTCAAATGCACCCATGGTTTGGTTGGTTATTTTGGCTTAACCCACTTGCATACGGATTTGAAGCCTTGATGGGAAACGAGTTTCATTCAAAGCAGTTGAACTGTGTCGGGACAAACTTGATTCCTCACGGGGAGGGTTATCCTGCCAATGGTCAGTTCACATCTTGTGCTGGTGTCGGAGGAGCTAAACAAGGAGCCACATCAGTCTCCGGGGATGATTACTTGAGCTCGCTGTCTTACAGCCATGCGCATGTCTGGCGAAACTTCGGTATTCTGTGTGCGTGGTGGATATTTTACATCGGACTCAATATCATCGGAGTGACTCGTTGGCGTGACAGCTCTGAATCAGGCGCTCAGCTTCTCGTACCTCGTGAGAGGTCTAAAGTTAATTCAAAGGCTCTTGCAAATGACGAAGAATCTCAAGTCACTCAGACAGGCAAGATCAATGAGAAATCACATGATAACACGACCTCCTTTGCACAGCAACTTTCTCCTAACACGTCTGTTTTCACTTGGAAGAATTTGACTTACACTGTGAAAACGCCTTCAGGCCCTCGAGTTTTGCTTGATAACGTGCAAGGATGGGTGCGACCTGGAACTCTGACCGCACTTATGGGTTCCTCTGGCGCGGGAAAAACGACACTTCTCGACGTATTAGCCCAGAGAAAAACAGAGGGCAAAATTCAAGGCTCGATCTTGGTAGATGGGCAGCCTCTGTCTGTTTCTTTCCAGCGCTCTACCGGCTATGTTGAACAGCTCGATGTTCATGAGCCTTTTGCTACTGTTCGCGAAGCACTCAATTTCTCTGCTATGCTGCGACAATCTCGCGATACTCCGGTCGCTGAGAAGCTCAAATATGTCGATATCATCATTGATTTATTGGAACTGGGAGATATTGCAGACACGTTGATAGGAAAGCCTGGGACAGGATATGGTCTTAATGTCGAACAAAGAAAGCGTGTCACGATTGGTGTGGAGCTTGTTTCAAAACCAAAGATCTTGATTTTTCTTGATGAACCAACATCGGGCCTGGACGGTCAGTCGGCTTTCAATACGGTTCGATTTTTGAGGAAACTCGCCAACTGTGGACAAGCTGTTCTAGTCACCATTCACCAACCATCTGCGCAACTGTTCGCACAGTTCGATCGACTTCTGTTACTACAGCGTGGTGGAAAGACTGTGTATTTTGGGGACATCGGCAAGGGTTGCCAGACTCTCAAGAGTTATTTCGGACGTTATGGCGCTCCTTGTCCGTTGAATACAAACCCAGCTGAACACATGATTGATGTTGTGTCTGGTCATACATCAGACAATGATTGGCATCAAATATGGCTGGATTCACCTGAGCACACAAGCACAATCAGTACTCTGGAGTCTTTGCTGAGTACCCCTCAAGAGAAGGGTTCAGCTCCAGAAGACAACTTTGAATATGCCACGCCACTCCTTTATCAAACCAAGATTGTTCTGCGACGTATGAATCTTGCAATTTTCCGGAATACAGGCTACATTAACAATAAGATCATGCTTCATATTGGTCTCGGTCTGTTCAACGGATTTACTTATTGGAAGATTGGGGACTCTGTCGGTGATCTTCAATTGAAATTATTCACTGTCTTCGTGTGGATGTTCGTTGCACCTGGTGTCATCAACCAACTCCAACCATTGTTTATCGAGAGACGCAGCCTTTACGATACACGAGAAAAGAAAGCCCGGATATATTCTTGGAAAGCTTTCGTGTCAGCTCTTATTATCTCTGAAACCCCTTACCTGTGTTTATGCGCCGTTCTCTATTTTGTATGTTGGTACTATACTGTTGGATTCTCCAGTGATTCGGATAAAGCAGGTGCAAGTTTCTTTGTTGTTCTTATTTATGAATTTCTCTATACGGGTATCGGGCAATTCATCGCGGCATTTGCACCTAATGCAGTTTTCGCGGCCCTGGCCAATCCCCTCATTGTTGGTATAATGGTCTCTTTCTGCGGCATCTTGGTACCTTATGGGCAGCTCGTGGTATTTTGGAAGTACTGGATTTACTGGCTCAACCCAGTGACGTATCTCGTTGGAGGTATGCTGACTTTCACTACATTTGATGCCGATGTAGTTTGCACTGAGAGCGAACTTGCCGTGTTTAACCCTCCTGACAACATGACCTGTGGAAGCTATTTGGAAAGCTATCTGCAAAGCTCCGGGGCGAACCTGCTCAACCCTGAGGATTCTATGGCGTGTCGAGTGTGTCAGTACACAAAAGGTAGCGATTATCTCAGAACCATAAACCTGCTCGATTGGTATTTTGGCTGGAGAGATGCTGCAATTGTCATTATTTTCATCCTCAGCTCATATTCCCTTGTCTACTTGTTCATGAAGCTGAAGACCAAGTCGTCAAAGACGGCGAGTTGAGTACTAGACTTTCTTTTACTTTTGAGTTTCCTTTGTTGTTTTCTTGCATGTCCGGTTTCATTTGCTGTTCAATTTAAATTGTATTTATGGAACATCCAAATATTTAAATATTCAAAATATACTATTTAATGTTGATCAGATCTTGTTTCCCTACAAAGACTCTCTCTTTCGTAATCACGATCGATTCGTATTCCTCATCAGTTCAAGTACATCAACTCTTCATCACGAAATGATCTCTGGTGATAGTTTGAATCATATTACATTGGGAAAGGCTCAACAGCAACGACACCCTTATCTCCGACAATTTTCTTCCATAGAGTTGCGATATCACCAGGAACATCCCACCTTGCTTCGGGCATAATTGTTATGTAGCACCGGGTCGTATCCAGCTCGACGGTCTTTCGAGGGTATTCAAACCACTCAATTTAAACCCTATCTTAATTAGGAAATAAAATTATTATATATAGTTTAGTGCGAATTCTGCGGGTTTTTGCGGGGCGGGTTTATAAAGACCTCGACCCGTGCGGGTTGGGGTGCATGGGGCCTCGAGCTGACACCTGGGAGCCATTGGCTTCTGTATTTGGAGCCATTATCACATACCCGAAGCGAAGATGGTGCAGCGAGACGGATCCAACCCTTTATTCAGGCGTACCTGTTAATAACCATTAGAGAATACCGAAGTTTGAACCAAATCCTTCCCCGCATTACCCTCTGCATACAACTCCCAATCACGTTTCGTTCAGGCAACTGCATCTTATTAATCAGCCGGAAGGCCTGGTCGAGTCCCGACCCCAAGCACCACACTTTCGCGCCTTCCCAAGGTGGATTATCTAGCCGTCTCCAGGGCCCGTGGGAACATGGTTATCCAGGACTCGGTCATCCTAAAAAACTCCTTTTGACCTGTGCTTACGCCCGACGCACCCACACCCTCTGCCTTGCCGCACTCTGTACCTGACCGGTGTGTCTAAAGAAGTTCTATGGAACAAAGTGCTAAAGCCAGTCGTGGAAGCTCTGTACAGATTAAACTTTATAGATAAAACTCGCCTTTGCGAGTTCTCTTGATAAAGAGATCCCCGAAGAATACCACATTTTGACTTGTATTTCTCATCTGGAATCTACAGAACCAATCTGTTAGGGACCACCGAAGTCAGAGGCTACGGCGTATGCCTCTTTGACCCCAGTCGCGCAGCGTGTATTGATTTGTTGAACCAATATCAGGAAGAGCCAATCGCCAAATTCTGACAGAGAGATCAAGAGCTTCCCCACAACTCCAGGCTTAGCTCTTTCTTCACCTAATTTTTCAAAGAGAGCGCATTCTGTCTGGCAAAACAGGACCTTGTCACTCGCCTAAACTTGTGAGATACCATGTAGTTTTCTTGAGACTGTGCAGCTCGTTTTTGAGCTCTAGTAATTGGACCCCGCCCTAAAGTGCAGTTCCTCGATGAATCCACCGTAGATGAGGACTGAGCCAAAGCCGATGCCGATGGAGTTTGAGAATTCTTGTCTTGCCTCTCTGTCGTCTCCTGGATAGTGTTGGCCTCAGTCCAGTTCGTCTGTCTACCCGTACTCGGCTCTCTTGCCTCCATCAACCGGGGTTTATTGAATCGTAATATCTCGGCCGGGGTCGAGATTTCGGAATCCAAAGAAGATCCATGGGGCCCAAGCACAGCCTCTTCCTTCTTTTCTTCAAATTCAAATGCACCCTTGTCTAGTCCGACTGACCAGTCCTTTGCCCCAGGCAGGATCTGTGGATCGATCGGCGGAAGCTCGGGGCTCGTACGAAAAGACTCGGACGCGACGCTTGTAGTGAGGTCAGGAGGACTAGGCCAGCTAGAGGTGCAAGGAGAACAGCCATTGTAATCAGGAATATGCTCATTATTTTCGACGGGCCTTTCATCAGTGGTGCTGCTGAGTATTGGCCCTGTCGTGCACAGTCCGACTAGATTCCTGTTGGTCTCAACAGGGCGCTCCCAGAATTCGATTACAAGATCTTCTGGATTGGCGGATGGTGAGCTGGATGAGTTTCCAGCAGGAATAGGGTCATCGTAGGATAATACGCGGTGATTCGGAGGATCTGGATACTCCCACATGATGATTTGAAGGTCTTCAGGCCGTCCTTGACCGACTTGCCTCCTTTTCTTCTCTCTTTGCCCTAGCAGGCCCTGTCCTTTCCTCTTACCGGCACCAGCATGTGAGGTGACCTGATCGTTAAGACCTTTGTTCTTTGGGGGTTTACCAAGATCACCCACTTGAGACCAGATTGCTTTATTCATCCCATGTATATCGCTCAAGTGGTAACGAAGGTGCATCTCGGAGTCAAATTTGACGTTGCACATGGGATGCGAACAGATATAGTTATCGCTCATCCGCTTGATATCTTCATTGACATGAGCCCTCAACTCATTGCTCCGTTTCCAAGCATCCATTCGTCGTGAGGGAGGAAGTCTATCGCATCCGAGACAAAAAGGACAATAGCCAGGCCGAACGAGGGTATGACAGTACGTGATTATTTCACATCTCCTGGAAATATCGTGCTGGAGATGGTTCTTGCAATGGCCTTCCCACTCTACCACATTGAAGAAATCAAAGCATTCGTAGCAGTACTTCAACTGAGTGTCTTTACAGCCAGAGGCCTTGCAGCGCTCCTGAAACCGGCAGTTTTGAACGTGATTAGACCGGTCCGCGCATTTAAGACTAATGAAGGACACATTAAAAACTTGAATCTGGTAGTTTGCGGAGTTCAAAGGTCATACTTACCGATCCAGATCACAACCCCACACAGGGCACCTTCCATCAATGGGCTCCTCCCCCGGCCGGTAGAAAACATCATAGTCTTTGGTACAATAGACTAGGAGGTCCTCAACGGTGGAGATCATCTCCTGATAAGAGAAAGTCTTGTCTGATGGCATCAACTCGGCGACGCGCTGCCGTTCAGGTTGTGCCTTGAAGAGGCATTGTGTAATATCGTTATACACAACCACATCCAAAGCCTTGCCTCCCGATTTTACCTGCGCCTCGAGGCGGTTCTGGATCCACTCATCTCGGTATTTTCCTAGTTCGGTGTTGTAAAGGCGGGTCCTTTGAACCTGCAGCTGCTTCTTGGTAAGCTTGATAGCAAATTCGACGTCCTCATCACCAGCAACACCAGCGTCGTCATCGCCACCCTTGCCATCGTCATCGCTCTGCAGCTCTCGAAGCCGCCGTTCGAGCTCTTGTAAGGCTTTATCTTGTCCAAGAGCATGCTCCCGCTCTGCCGGCAGACGTCTCGGATATCCAACCACACGGTATTTACCAACGCCTCGAAGGTATTCAACGTGGTCAAGGCGCATCTTCTCTCCAAGGAACGCATCCATGGTGTTAAGTGCTGAGGTACTGTCGATGTAGCTTCTTCCAAAGACATTCTCATCTTTCTGGGTAAGTACCTGGCTCCTTTCGGCCTCGGTCGCCACTTCTATAGACAAATGTTAGAATCGAGGATTACCCAGATGCCAAGCCAACTCAAACTTACTGTCAAGTCTATTTGCAAGACCACGCCTTAAGCTATGGATCGTTATAATTTCGGGATATCCCGCATTGATGACGACCGCTCTAAATAGCTTGCAGAAACTCACTCGGGTCCACGGACGTTTTGATATACCACCGGCCATGGTGACTGTTCGTAGAACGGGCTCCCCTGCAATAGATGGTTTCCACTGGAGGAGCACTGGATCGTTATGATCGGGATTCCATCTTTTCAAGGCCTTCAAGGAGTCGACGTGTGCAAACATGCCGTCCTGAATCGCCATCTCCAACAACCAGCCGACAGGATTGAACCGGAACTTTCTGTGCTCCCTCATCGCGAGACGGAAGCTGACCAAGCACTATCAGTAGGTGAGTCTGAGGTTATTAAGGGTGGACATACACCGTATGCTTCGGATTGTCATTGTTCTTAACCCATATCTGGCTAAGGCGGAAAAACAGCTCTAACTCACCATCGTCGGGTCTGCGGTAGATATAGAGCTCGATGTCCTATTACATATCAGCATAAATCAACGGCATTAACCAGTGAGCAGGCTCGGGTAAAATACTTGGTAGCGTAGTCCACGCTCGTCTGCTTTGGATGTGTCCGGTATAAACGTGCCAATTCGAGCACCCGAGTAGCAATATATCATGATAGTGAATGCCATCTGCACTCTATACCTCGGATGAATGAAAACAGGGTCATCGTCATTCCACAGTGACACAAGAATGTTTGTCAGGTCGCAGTGGGTGAACATATTTCGTGGTCTTTTTACGTCCTCAATCTGTTTTTCCTCTTTCACGAGTTTTTTTTTGATGAACTATTTTTGTTCAGTGACCATGGACAGGAATTCAACAGATGGATTACGAACCGTATACACATCATCAGAATCCTTCTTATCAAAGACTGACTTTGTAATGCGAGTGTATCCGGCAAAGAACCGTTCCGCAAAGTTCAGCACGGAAGATTTTGTAGGACGCAGCGTGAGAATTCCGTCGGTAGAGGATACGTAAAAGCGCACAAAATCTTTGACCGTGGCGAGGTTCGGCACGGGGTATCCCTTCTGAAGGCCTTTCTCTCGGAGAGATTCATCTTCTTCGGACGCCCAGCTGGAAGGCATGACGGATAAGAAATCAGCAAGACGGTCACACGCCACAGGACAAGGGAATATAATATATACATACTCAATATAAACTGATATAACTCTATCCTGCATAGCAATAGAGTCGTTGCAATAGATGATCTCACAACGTTCCTTATCTTGCTCGCGGTGCGCTCCTCGATTGTAACCATTCGCTGCCGCACGGGCTTTTCTATCGACCCTTTGTCGCCCTCTTCCCTTGGACATTGTTGCAGCAGAATTGAAATTAGGACGCTTATCCTGAGGGCACTGTAGGATCGCGAAATAGCCAGAGAAAAGGGCGTGACGTGGCAGGGTAAAAGGGTAAGAAGGACGCAAGAGATGCACTTTGCACGGTGTTTGCGAGGTTCAGGAGGTGGGAGAGAAGAGAGAGGAAGGGGACATCCTGGCAGCACCCTGCTGGGGCAGCAGTGGGCCGGCTTTGCTCAGCCAGGCCTGTTACTCTCTCTTGTCGCGGCATCTTGACTTCCTTGGTGAAGCAGCTAAAGGAATGGTGTCGACACGAAGAGGGGACGGGGTGAGTTGGGTGAGTATAGACCTCGAAGGGTGAGCGAATCACCTTGGATGGGCACCTTCGAGGGTGAGCGAATCACCTTCGAGGGTGAGCGGATCACCTGACTCACCCGGCTCACCCTCTTAAAGCGGCAACGTCTGGATCAGGCAGGAAGGAAGCGCTCGCAGTTTTTTGGACGGTATTACTCCCTACCTTACAGTCACTACAACACGTCTTACCCCGTGAGGTACACTAAACCATTTTGGGGATAGTGCATCTCGCGTGGCAGACGCAGGTTGGTACCATTCTCCATATATTCCCAGGACGTTGCTCCGCATTGGAGTTATCTCGTCATTGTACAGTACAGTCAATCAAAGGTACTTGGAAGGATGAAAGCGTATAATGAAAAAATACAGTAATAGCTTCCAGCCAGAGCTACTCGACCTGAGACGGACGGCGATGCAACCCATAACGTATACTAATCGAAATAGTGGTCAAGAGGATCCTATCTACCCGTCCACATAGCATGCCCAGTATGTCAGATATCCTAATTTTATGGTGCGGGATTACAAAAAAACACATATAGTATATATGTATACACAAAAAGATGGCTATTAATGCAATATCTTGATTGCCAGAGAGTCAGTGCCTACTTCCTCCGAGCGACAAACTACTGGCCATCAGTTGAGGACCGGTCAAGGGCCATCCGACGACCTAGCTCTGCTCTTCCCATTTGCCAGCTCAGATCTTCTGCCTGTTCCCAGCGAATCCCCATCATGGAAGCGACCGGCGACCACATCTGCAGACGAAACCTAACCCAGTTAAGAAAAGACCACAGGGTGTTCTCGCATGTGAAGTAGACATCCTGCTTGTACCAATGGGCCATTTCGTTGAACAGCCGTTCTTCCTCCTCCCGAGTGTGTTGTGGAAATGGTGAGGGCATCAGGCGCGCCACAGCGTTGCGTCGAGATGATCCCTGTAGCAGATCGAGAATAAGCCCACTGGCTTGAGGCCCCTCTGTTAGAGTCTGGTCCGCACGAGATTGCCATTGCTCGGATATCGGTGTCAGTCCCTGATCTGGGAAAAGTAAGGCGCGCTGAGGACGCGCCGAATAATATGCATTCGTCTGGCCATTCATTGGGGTGAGCTCGAGCTCCCTTTTCAATCTCTTGGCGGCCAATACTGCAGGTCCCTCATTGGTAGGAGACCTCGCGCGCTTGCGTGGGTTGCTTTTCATCATTGATCGCGGAGACAAATCAATCATGTCCACCGGGATAGTGGAGCCAACGACATGATTGTAAGCGGCAGTAGGGGTGGACGGGCGCGAGGGAGGCACCTTATTCTCCATGATCGATATCAAGAGCTGCCTGTAGCTACTAACCGTCAAGTGTAGAATGTGGGATTATTCTGATGGTGATCAAGTTGAAAGCTGATATGTACAGCGCAGTAGCTTTCTTCGGCTTTATAGAGATTACCAAGTGATTTGAACCATGGAACATAGAATCCATCGGTTCATGTATCTGCTATCATTAACGTGATGCTAGATAGATCCAAGGATGCGTTATACATGGCTCGCCCTCGCTACTATTACATCCCTCCAATGCACGCCAGTCCAGAACTGCATGGAAAGCAACAGCACAGTTCTTTCTAGAACAGCCAGGGAATCTAGTACCCACTGAAATAACTTTGTTCCAACTGGTTCTGGAGAATGATGATCACAGATTGGCAGGGATATAGCCGCACATATTACGGTGTTGGTACCTTTCCGTCCGGTGTATTTATTCAGCGCCTCAGGGATCAAAAGTGTCTTCACCAATTCAAGGCTCCCCCAATTCGTCTTGCTCTTCATTTCTTTGTGGCCCCAACATGGCAGCAACTGGGCGATTGGAGACCCATCATAACCAGCATGGTGTTCATCTTGCAACCGGAAATACCGATGATCTATACAGAACTCTCCGCGTACCAAGTGATGGTGGCCCGCGACATCCCCCCGTAGCCCTAGACCCTATTGCTACAATTACAGCTACAGGGTTACAAAAGCGACGAGCGCGAATAATAAGCGGCACTGTCCTTCTAGCAGGAGCATTGGCAACTGCAGTATTGGCAATCATATTGTTCGCCAATCCATCAGTGAAACAAGGCGGGATAGCAACCTTCTCTGTAAGTGATGCAGCATACTACAACTGGGATCCTGTTACACTGATGATCGCCATAAATGCCTGTAGTACATACTGACTCGTATATAGATGGATTGGGGGCACTTGGGCATTAACGTCGAACAGCGAGGATTGCCTTTTCCACCCGATAGCCCCGACATACCGGGGACGGTAGAAAGTGCTGCCCGGGACGGTGTGGCTGCTGTGGAAACACAGGGCATTGCGGGAGCCTCTGCGGTGACTAGTGCCGCGGAGTCCATTGCCACAGCAGCGCCACATCTCCCGTTGGGTCTCGCAGGGGTCGACTTGCCCAAACAATTGTCTATCGGCACTCGGATGATGTGCGCCCAGTACCGATCAGACCACCAGAAATGCCATCAGCTTCCCATAGAATTCAGTCAGATCTTCCCTGGCCCCCAGCTACCCCTTCTCGGGGACACCATCCAGTCTTTTGAACACCTTGGAGAGATGGTCGTTACTAAAGTCATGGGGCCTGCTCAGCATGGGGTGGAGGCCGGACTCGCACTGACTGTGGTGGACACGCTTACGGCCTTCTTCTTTATACGGCCCTCATGGGCGCAATGCCGTCGGGTAAAGTGGATCATACTTGTTTTATTGAGTATAGCTTGCTTGGCGTGCTTCCTGGTCTCTACGAGCATTATCTTTGTTCTGCAAGCCAAGCTTGGGGATTTGCCCACGAACACTCCCTTTGTCGAATCCGTTCATCCTGGCTCGGCTGGGCGGTACAGCTTGGGAGCAACCTGTTGTGCGGTGGTCATGTTTGGGTGCAGCCTGGCCCTTGCGGCACTCTGAATCATTGGCCAGGATGCACATTTATCTTGACAGCGCAGTCTGTTTCAAAGCTGTGAAAACCGACAGCCCAGCACCAACGCGATTCGTGTACGGGCCATGATGGTCGGAGAAGGTGAAGACTCATCCTGTTTAGCTAGAAAAAAGTACATCTGGAATAGGCTGTTGCCATGTTATTGGGTTTACCTAGCGTTTTCGATATATTCAATTGTTCTACGGTATGGCGTAGTTAAAGTAAATACACTGACAGCTATTGGCACGTAACGAGGCATTAGGTACTCTGCTTGGTAGCAGAGAAATAGACGTTTACAGGTTCAAGCTCAGTGGACCTTATATTACAGGGCAAAGTTGAATATACACAGTACCCTGCTTTACTTTACAAATTAATGGTTCAAAACAGGCAGAATGACATGAAACCACTAGATTCCCGGAACATAATTATGGAATCCTTAGACATCTTTCTTTCTTTTTTGGAAACAGCCAGCTGAAGCCATCTTGATACCACCTATCCATAATCGACATCTTGGATAGCTTTGACTGTGGAAAAGAAAATAATGCGCGCCAAGACAGTCATGGACACTACACGGTGTCTTCTGCTCACAAGCATTGCCCCTTGTCTGTGCCATTCTCGAAAAGAGTATCCAAAAATCCCGTGTCAGGGGGAAATTCCAATGTGTACGGTGCATTCATCTCAATCTGTAGGTCAGCTCTAGCTGTCTGGCCCTGTTGGTCTTCCGGATTCAAGCTGTTGCCCGGAAAGAAAGTTTCCGTCTGATACGGCTCGCCGCCTGTGTGCCCTGGCGGCGGTATCTGGATCGAAGGGCCTGGAGCTGCCGTTCCGGTAGGGTCATGGTCATGTGTGGATGCTCTGAAGTCCTTCGGACCTAGTCGTTCCGCCATGGGAAAATAGTGTAGCTAAAGTCTCCATTAACTGTCATGAAAATTACCAAGTAAATGCAACTCACTAATTGTTTCCGCGATGGTGGCCACTGAGTTGAATTCTGGTACTCTGTAACCTCTCCGCGACCGTCCTGAATGATCAGGTATGCTTTAGCTCCGAAAAGGCAGCCATAGTCATGGGTGGATTGGACCAGCCGGTCTCTCCGCCGCTTCTCTCGCTCCCGGGCGTTTTTGTTGATTCTTTGTTGTCCGGATGCCCGCACGCCGTGAAGTCATCACGAGATTGCAGACTGTCGCTGAGACATGTATGTGATTTGATCATTCCCGTCTCAGGGAGTGATTGCTACATATATGCGTACCGCCGCTACTCGAGACAAAATAGTATCTAGCAAAGGGGCGCACTTTTAATGACGACCCGGACTACTGTTTCGGATGTGATCTTGAGTATGGTTTCGCACAGCACACGGAGCACAGAGAGGGCCAGGGCTTCTCGTAGCAGAGCTTTTAGTACCTGATGGCTTCGGTACACGAAATTATGCCATGAATCTAGTGTGTTCTAGTTCATTTTGATTCCCGCCTGGAACACAGTACGTAACTGAATAATATCATGATCTAGGCAGTTTAGTACGTCAAGGGGTACAGGAAATTCACCACATACTTCCCATGAGGGTGCTGTGCTTCTCCCAGGATAGAGTGTGTCAAGAGTGTGTAAATTTCTGTCTCGTCAATTGGCACTGGTTTTAAATAACCCAGCAATTGGAGGAGCTGATTTGTTGGCATTAAAGCGAATTGCAGGGCCAGCTTAATCCTTGACCTTTATTTAGAAGGCCAGGTCTACAATCCTATTCGTGAGTTGATGAAAACCTATTCTCAGCCATAAGGTAGCCCCACAGTAATGATTATAAAGTAGGATCCGCTCCACTACTTATCCATTTCTACGCGGCGCGAAACCCATCAGCTCCGCTTTGGCTTCTTTTCTAGACCACTCCCGCAAGAATAGTCAACATCTGTAAGGCTAGACGAAGGTATCCATGTTAATCTGAATGACCTATAAACTAACATTTCAACTGTCGCGCCGAGAAATATCGTAAAGGGAGGGCAATATCGTAGCCAAACCGGCTAGGCACTGTAGTGAATCACTGCATATCGACCTATATGGGAACAGAATGGCGACGGTGATGGCCAAAGGCGAGGGTGGCTATAAGGATATTAAAACAACGACAGAAATAGGGGTCGTTCGTAGGTAGAAAGTCAGATTAACATCAAAGATTTAGTTTGAGTCCAGATACAATAGATAATTATATGATCAAGGTTGAAGACTGCAGACACCTCTCTAGTAGATGCAGCATCGCACATTAGCAGTTACATGCGTCCAACATGTGAGTTACCAACTTTCTCACTCCCCGTTGCCAGCTGCTTTTCGTGAACGCTAGCTACCTGATTCCACTTGGGTTCCACTTGGGTATTACTAGGTACCTAGAGCCATGTCAGGTTCTGGAGCACTCTCCTCCTCGGGTGCTACCAACTGCAGAGTAAAGCCTATGGCCAGGCACGAGCATGCAACCAACTGAAAACCAAGGAAGTAAGCCGCACTTTGATTCTCCGATCGTTCTGCGTACCACAGCAGACAACCGATGAGGAACATCCCGACCGCGACACACAGCATGCAGAATGGAATCATTGCTGATGCCAGTCTGCGGTGCCTCTGAGGGTCAGGATATGCTAGTTTCCAGGAGAGCAGTCCATCCCACACAATAGAAGCAAAGGCATAGACCACAGCACTGCCAAGGAATACTTCTATTGCGTCCAAGCGGTGGGTTAGAGAGGTCACGCAAAGTTGGTGCACAGTCAGAACCACGAGCGCGAGAACACCGATAGCTAGCCCAATACAATTGATAGTATGGTGCAGGTGCTGGAGTCCCCGATACGCGATGCGCTCAGAAGAATTCGGCGATGGTATTGCGCGAGGGGCTAAATATGACCAGAGTAAGCTTTTTGCGCAGCAGCAAGATGGCACTGACCGCCGTTGGGCGTTTACATACCCGGTGGGCCACTCTGCGCGTGCAAGCCCATATCCGGCGTACCAGATTGCTTGATATTAATATCAGTCTTTCTCATGCGTTTTGGATCGGGCATTTTGAATGTAAGGTGTTGCGTTCTAGCTGAGATTATTAACCAAAAGAATGGGCGGTCTGTATTGGAAAGATCCAATCCAGAAGTTCCAAGATTGGTTGAGCCGAGATATGTTCTCAACAGGATCATCGTGGGATCTTATATGCACCAGGAAACGAGATCTTCTTTACCTCAGCTCTGTCGCCACTAGGTGGGCGCCACTGGCAATACGCAAAGTCTTGCAGGCATACTCCACTGTCCAGCTCTGCGTACAAACAGACTAATTATGATTCATACAAAAGCGTAGACCCACCAGAATCCAATATCTGACCCGTGGCTCCCCCCCTTTCAACCGGACTGCTTATGAAAGTCGCTCGTTTCGATCTTGCCGAGATGTAATCCAGCGTTCGTGTGTTTACTAAACCATACACATGCCATTGCCTATCGTACACTACGTAATAATACAGAATTTTGGTCAAGTCAAAAGATTTACCATAATGAACGATTACGATGCAAACCAAACCCCTGGAATGTTGTGCTCTCCCCCCATCGACAGCCGGTTTCAGAAAATGATACGGATTGTGTACAAGGCTAATGTAGGAGCATAGTGAGGATTCTCATTTAACAGCGTCTGTATTTTCCTCTATCGCAGAACCTAAATGGTCCGCACGCAGCCGATCGATAATGCGCACTCGACGAGGCGCTATGGTTGGTGCGAGGATCTCCTTTTGAGCCTTTTGCCATTTGGGTCGAGCGCACGATAGCATCTACTTGAACTTAGTTTATACTCCTTGTATTGGCTAGCAGAGCCGAATCAGTCTTCCATACCACTTGCCTGTCAAACCTATCAAACAGACCACGGTCCCTTGATTTGAAAACATGTGTTTGATCAGCTGAACCGATAATAATCCAAAGGTCGACCCCAAGCCGGCTCAACTCTTCGCACTTTTTGAAAATAGTCTTTCTCCGCCGAGCCGCATTCCGGTGGTAGCCAGCCGTCTTCAGCTGTGCACCCATAGTGATGCCGATAGAATAGAATAGAGGTGATAGGGGATAGATGAGGTAACCCGCGCAAAGATATGATTCTTGCCGCCCGATCTGGGAAGTAAAACACCAGTAATGTATGCTTCAGCTGGCAGACCTCTATTATAATAGCATACATCAAGTTGTGGATACTGGCGGGTCTACGGCACCGTCAGTACCATTGAACTGTGCTTAACAATGGAGAAAGCCATTCATCTGCGTCAATTTCAGGACCATGATAGACAAAATAGACGAAGTAATGAGATTGAGATGCCTAGTGACCCTTGTGTGGTGTGGATTGAGCCAGAGAACAAGACTCTGGTGGACCCTACCCCGCGAGGTACGCTAGCCATGTTGGGAATGATTCGCCAAGCCAAGTTTGATTTGCCACTTTAGAAAGGCCCATCAGCATTGTGACGACGAAGCACACTGTGCGGTACTGACCATCGCCTTGATGTAGGAAACAGTAGAAATATATGGAGCGTATGAATCTGTGGTTATCGTCGGTCTGCCGGGTTATGTTGTTGAAGATCGAGCTCTCATTGAGCATTGAGATGGTCGGTTTAGCGCACGTCGCGGAGTAAACTAAACTAAATACGTGTTTTCCACAATCTTCCCACCGCAGATCCGAGGACTGTTCGTTGGCGAGAGGTATTTCCGCAGTATTAGGAATGGACCCAGTCCAATTTAGCGAACCACCTTTTGACCTTCACCCGAATGCCATAAATAAAGAATTACATGTCTCAAGACCCGGAAGGCTCTTCAGATGTTGCCAACCGATGTTATGCGAATAGATGACTTCTCTATATTCACTCGACCACGTCTATGATCCGAATAGTTGAAGACTGTGCCTGGATGGTCATTTGATGTGCTTTTGCGTCCACTAGATCCCGATAGCGATTTCTCAGTGTGACAGCACCCATAGTGCAACGAGACGTCGAGCGTTTATCCCGATCAGTCTGGTTAGTAGGTATAGGACATTGTCAGAGGAGACGTCACTAATTAGTTTGATAGAACCACGCAGCAAGGATGTCGGATAGACAACAGAGAACAGCACCTCGAAGACACATTCCGCGCACATTCCCCTATCGCCACCATTCACCATCCTTGGCGGTCGTTATACCAGCCAAGCGGAACACTCCAGGATCGCACAAAACTAGCCGTATTGGCAACAGTCCAGGTTTGATTGATACCAGAACCATTGCATGCACTTCTAACCAAGCAAAGTAGACAATCCAATTGTGATACCGGATGACCCGGATTCAAAACACGCAACGATAGCACCACCCCACTCGACTCTTCTACACGTCAAAGATATCCCGCGCGAAAGCAGTGGACTAACCTGCCCTATTTGCTGGGAGAACACTGTTGATGGCCTTGTTGCAGTTGGATGTGGCCATGTGTGTCATCAACAGTGCTTCAGTCAATATATCCGTCAGTATTTCGAGTCGCGACTGCTGGCTACAGGAAAGATACAGGTCCCGTGTCCAATGTGTCGAGCTGATTGTTCTGGGCGGCTGGATCGATCTCAATCCCACCAACCGTTGCATTTTGTTGTCCGCCCTTGGGACGCTGATAACTCAGTCACACGGGGTGCCCGTTCCATCGCCGTTTACATGGAGGGGATACGCCTGTATGCCCATCGCTGACTACTCTGCCTGGGCCAATGACATGGCTTTCGTGGATTTTTCTTGGAGAATTGATACGTACACCAGGTCAAGAGAGTCATCGTTCTATAGCTTATCGCTATGCCAATCCCTCGCGCATGTTCCAGTCTCACTTCTCTGCAATTTTAAAGTTCTAGATATATTTGCTTTTGATAGCTTATTCCGTAACTGCGAATTAAACAGAATCCTAACTGTCTTCTTGTCTTCTTCTGTCTTTTTCAGTCTCTTCCACAGTAGTCCTGACTCTTCCTGGAACAAATCTAAAGGGAGCATGATGACCTTGACGGCAGTTGTCTTACCCCACGAGGTACACTAGACCGGTTTAGGGATAGTGAATATGTTCTGCGGTGAACCGCGACCCGTCAACAATGCCCCGCAACCATCAATGATCAAGCCTTCTATTCAGATAACCCACAAAGAATAAGATTAGAAGTCAAGATACGCGGCACCTCTCTTTACTTTTACTTGATAAGTCCAAAAGTGGGAAATATCGAGATATGTGTTGTAGTACTGTTTAGTCGATGGCCTTGCATGGTTTTCACTAATAGCATATGACATGGAAGATTATATATATACATATATCTGCACGAGAAAATATTCGCCCGACAGTGTCGTATATTGTACATAGTCAATCGGTATGGAACTTCATTGACCTTACCCTATAATGTGCTAAATTTTATTATAACCCGAACTTTGTCACAAACCTAAACGTCTTGATCGCATAGAATATTGCATGTCTATGCCTTGTCAACCTATGACGGAGTATAGATAACCCGGCATAACTGCACCTATCACTAATTAGGCATGGCGTACCACGGGAGATACTGGCCCGTGGCTGATGCCACCTGCAATAGGTATGCCCAAGCCCAAGAGCAGCAACTATCTATCCATGTGTGTACACTATACTACGCAATCAGATAGTATAAGGCGGTACCGATTTAGGGGCAGCCTTTCCCTTTTGCCCCCACCGTAAGACTTCTGTCTGGTGGTGGATAGTACTTCATGGTACACTCTTGGATGAGACACATCCAACGACATAAAGCTGTATTTACGTCTTTTGCTAGTACATTGCACAATGGAGAAAGCTCCATATTCCATGCGGCCAGTGGGTGATATGACACATATAAGCTGGGATCAGTCCCTCATTTCCCCTGCTTCGTTAAATAATAGCCCCGCTTGAAGTATGCCTTAAATCTTCCTCCGTCTTCTGATTTGGAGCGTACTGTGTGCCATGGCTGGTGATCATGAGCAAAATAACACCGCCGCCAGGGCGGAGGCGCGTCTTGGCATTGGACGGGTGGCGTTAAATCGCCTGCGGTTTAACCATGACTCTCCGGCGGCCCGGATGCTGGACCAATCCAACGTTGACCGCCTCGTAGACGTCTTCAAAGAAGTTGGGTGCAACAACCGGGACGCGGAACATTCGATCCCCGTTGTCATCACCCGTGACCAGCTTCATCGAGTGTTGCAACGATCAGGCCTGTCAGCAGATAATCTGCGGTCCAATGACCATGAGCCTCCCTATCTTAAACTCCGGAAGAAGGAGGCATTGAGTTGTCTGCACGGCCAGCATCGGCATGCAGCGGCATGCCGTTTTTTGCGGCATCATCCACGGGAGGACCGTTGGTGGACGGTCACGCTCTACGATCAAGACGGTTCGTCTGCTGTTTTCCTCGCCATGACCAGTGACTTGTCGCTGACTCCCCAACAGCTTTGTTCTCGGACGCTCGGCGTGACATCGCCGCGGGACATTTAACCAACGTGTGGTCGTTTTGTGGTGGTGAGGTCTACCGTCAGATCCAACTGGCAACACAGCGACGTGATCGACGCCAACGAAAGCAGTGGAAGTGTCGGATCCTCACCAAGCAGAAACGGTATGATGTGCGACGGTTGCGACGTTTCCCGCAGTACCGCGAGCTCCGGGATGCGCTCGACGCCCTCCTACCATTCCGTGCCCTGTGGAAAGGGTTACGGCTGGGCACGCTGCGACGCAAGTTTGCCCTTCGAAGTCCAGAAGTGAGTACTGCCATGGCGCCGAGGCCCTTGGAGACGACGAACTGACGGAGGATCCCCAGAGGCTCGCTCACTACGTACGCCGAGTGCACCGTGTATGGTCCCAGATCCTTGGTAGCATCCACCCGGACGAGGCTGATCATAAGACCGTCCAGGAGCTTGAAGGCCGCTGCCCGGGACTTTCGACCTTTGACCTGAATCATATCAAAGACGGCTTGGAGACTGGCCGGATCTTTCCTACGATCACCCAGCCGGATGACCGGGCGCGGCTGCTGGAGAGATTGTCCCGGATCGACACAAGGATCCCTTCCCTCCACACTTGGACCACGGATTCCCTGTGTTTGACCGCCGGTGCCTCTATCCTTCGGCGCCTGTTCCCGGTTCTCCAGAGCCACGCCACCCTTGAGCAGGAGGCCCAGCGTCACCATGTCTGGCGTGGCGGTGATCAGCCATCTGGCCGTTGCCCGACCGCTGTGGACTTTGGGTCTGCCTATCGCCAGCTTTGGTTGTTTGCCCTCCGGAACGCACCTGGGCTGCTCTCGCTACCCCATGGCCCACCGGATGACAAGCAACAAGCCCTTTGGGTACAGGTGGCCCGGTTCGCATGGGTCGTTGGGTTTAACACGTCAGCAATCTGGAGCCTCCTGCAAGGTGATAGACCGACTCTAGGATTCGCAGCGGATTCCGCTGGGGGGCCCCCAGCCATGCCCGCGATCACCACTGGTCTTGATGCCCGGGAGTCAGCGGGCAGACGCATGGTTAGATCAGCCGCACGATGCTTCCAAGAGGCCCGGCCATATCTGTGGGCTGACCACATTTACTC